GATGCAGAAACAAATTCAATCTGCTCCTTCAATCTCCAGCATCACTGGTATTATACTCCTTCAGCTGCTCTGCTTTTAGTGTGTTGCTCTCTCACACAGTCTACTGACGTCACTGCCTTTTTAATCCTTTCAGTGTCTACGTCCCTGGAGCAGCAGAGCATGTGATGTAATGTATGTGACAACTGGTTGTTGGATCCCAAAGGACAGAACACATGGATGTGTCAATTCTCCTAATAGAGAGATGGAGTTTGACATCTTTGGATGAATCATTTAATGTGAAGATGACTATTATTATTATTATTGTTTTCTATACTGCTAATACAGTTAATGTACATTTTAGCTCATGTGCTCTTCCTTTGTATATTCCTGCTCAGCAACGTGGGAAATGAAGTCCATGTTGGGTCATTTGCTTCCCCTGTGCATCTATGATCATTTATTCTTGCCTCTTACTCATTTAAACCCCTGCAAGATCTTTCCATGGACTGAATTATGAAGAAGCAGTCCCAGTTGCCAGGCAACAGCCAGGAAGTCAGACTGTCTGGGACACCCACATATAAAATCTGTTTGGCTATGGAGGCACCAGACTGCATTAGACCGAGAAACAGACAGGTGATGCAGGGAAGAAAGATGAAAGTGCCTGTTATGCTTTGAAGAGCATAAACGCATTATAAATTATATGAGCTGTGTTTTTATCACAACAAACAGACAATTGGCCACCTGCAGATGGTTTCTACCAACAGAAATATAAAGATAAAGTTTAGTTCATTTTATCTCATATTTCACTATATGAGACTGCCTCCAGACAGTCATATTCACAATTTATGAAATTACAAAACAAGAGGGGTCAGTTAAACCTGTCTATGCAATACTTCTAGAAGTAGCACACTTTAAAAAGACTGCACAAAAGTGCCAACTGTGATTGTGCTCATCTAACTGACAAGATAATGTCAGTGGTTGTGACCACACACTCTCCTTCAGCCTGTCCAGAAACCAAATGTATTGATGCAGCCAGATGCAACTGAGGACAGTTGAAACACTATGTCTTTTATTGTCTAAAATCTTCTGAATTGGAAATACCTGCACTTTGTTTTTTATTTTTTTATTTTGTTGGATATGTTAGACATAATTAAAATTTATGTTAAATTGCAGACTTGATCGTGTGTCCCAGCAGTAACGTGGAGGCCTGTGGAGATTTTTTTAACACTTAATTTAATTTTGCAAAACACTTCCAAGTTGATTTGTTCATTATTTGTGGTCTTACAGGAGTGTGCTGTTATTCAAACCAGCCATTACGTGCATTGCACCCTGACAGCCACTAGAGTGTAGTAAAGAACAAGCAACCCTCTCACTGCCTCATTCATTTCTGGGGCATTGTAGACAAAGAGGATGAGAAAGAGAAACTATTCTTGTTTGAGGGAGGAAGCTGCTCTGAAAACCTCAGTATTCTGTGACAGTCCTGTCTACAGGAACTTTCAGTTCAGCTGTGACTTGAAACCTCCATATATTTAAAAAATCTTTTTTAGATATATATCGATAGAATAAAGTTTGTCATCACATAGAAATTTGTCTAAAAATAAGCATGCAGAATGGCAAAAACAGGAAGTACTCAGCATTAATAGCATTAATTTAAACTGTTCTGTGGAGGGAAGTAAAGCCCCATTTTGCTGTATCTGTGGAATATCAATGATACATTTACCATTGATGTGGTGGTAAAGTCTTTAGTCCACACTTCTTTGTGTTCTAGTGTGGAGCTCTGAGGGGGTTAACAGGACATGGAGACAGTTGGGTCGCACCCACTGAGCTAATCTGAATAACGCCGGCATTTGGCGCGAGGCTCAGGAGAGTCAGCCTTTCTTCCTACAGGCTGTGACACCACCGTCCTTCCCTCCTTGTGCACCCTGGAATATAACGAGAAATGCTCTAAAAAAGCATTAAATACGGAGAGAAAGAGGGGACTACACTGGCTGGACCCCAGGAGGGTTTGCATAGCTCTGTACCTGCATTTGCTCTGGATGTGTGTCAGATACAAAGTGTAGCTTGGGAAAGCGACAGACAGAATGAAAGCAGAAAGAAAAATCAACGCCCCCCTGTTTTGGCGCAACACAGAGAAAGAGATAATGCTCTTTCAGTGGTAGGCTGTGGGTGGAGACAAAAGCAGGCATGAGTGGAGCAGGCCAAAACAAAGAAGGTAACAGCCTGGCTACCCCCTATCCCTTATCAACCCTTCCATCCCCCTATGCACAGCCTGAAGCCTTGAGGCAAGGCAGATGACTATTATAACCTTAATCAGTTCTTCAAAGGAGCCACTCAGGCATTTTTGCCGCCAGCAGATTCATTGCTCTTACTAGGGTTCTACTTGGTTGTGGCTTCCCTCTTTTTCCATGCATGAAACATCCCGCCACACACACACACACACACTTAGTTTAAGAAGTTATTAAGAAAACATAGCCAGCATAGCTTTCTGTTTTGGAATAATAAGTTTGTTTTATACAATGTGCTCTAGACATGTTATGTTATGGCATATTGTTGTTTGTTAACCATGTGACCAGATGTGTTTTTTGTTTTTGAGAGGTTCGGACGGTCAGGCTCTGAGCACACAGTTTTTCTGACCGAGTTATAAGCAAGTAATTTGTCAAGTCCTTTGTAACTTTGGACAAGGAACCAGGAAACGTTTTATTTGTATGTTTATTTTTATTTAGTAAACCCTTTGTAAAAACCAAGAACTGGACTGTGGAACTTGTTCATGTCATGTCATACTTACTGCATAAGACCTGCACCGTAAAGCAGCACTAAAGGCTAAGGAGTACCGCTACAGTCATGTACTGTTATCAAACAGAAGTAGTGGCCTTTCTTCCTTTTGTTGCTGAGAGCTGGTGATTGTCCATAACCAAGGTAAAGGACCCATAGTCATAATAGACTATCCTCAGCATCCACACTGCACTCAAGCAATATAATTAGATTTGTTGTTATTGGCTTCCACATGTGCAACAGTCTAGATTCCCCCAACCCATCTGCTGGATTTGTAGAGTGAGTGAGTTAAGTGGGAGGCAGCTGACTGAGCACTAGCATCATTTCGTCAGAGAGCAAAAAGAGCAGAGCAGCACTTCCTCTGACTTCCTGCCTCCAATGGGTTCAACTCAAAAACAGGAAGTCTGTGCTTACTGTGTGTTTCCTTATAAAAGCATCTCTCTCTCTGTTTCACACACATAGACCCACAGAGGAAAGCAGGGCACTGATTATTACTTAAGCTCAACAGTGGTGGTCACTCAGGCCCTGACAACAACAGCAATCACACTCAGACACAAGGCTGGAAAAGAGGAATTGTAACCATGTTGAACAAACAGAGGCTTCTATAAACAATTTAACATCTGATAAGACACAATCTGATAACACACTGCACTAATGTGTATGTGTGTGAGTGGGGGTGGGAGATGCATTTTAGCATTTAAATGTATGTTGATGCAAATAAACTCTCCATACACTCTCACATGGCAGTAATTGGTCAATAAATTGGCTTTTGATAGGTGTGTGTGTGTGTGTGTGTGTGTGTGTGGTGGGGGTTGCTGATTAGTGAAGGCCTGACTGAGGGAGAGACAAAGTAGTAGAAATCTAGAGGGGGTTATTGTGGTGGTGGGGCAAACAATTGTGAGCTCTGCAGGGGGGTTAATGGGGATAGGGGGAGGGGTAAAGCCCCTCTCTGTGTAGCTTTGGGATGGGGCAAAATGAGGTGGGGGTTGGTGGCACTCAGTGGGGTTAAATTCAAAAGTTGCAGCAAGTGTCCCAACTTCAACTGAAGCAACCTTACACCGCAGAGCCAAACAATGGAACATCTGCTGGCTGACAAAGCTGGCAGTTCACTTGTTAGAGCAGCAGTGGCTCTGATATAAACTACTGCTCTGTGGAGAGGATCCCCACAGCTGGAAACTGGTTCTAACATATTTCTGAAATCATAGACACTTGGCATCTGCTTAATTTTGAATAAACTGCATCCCTTTATTTTGAAAGCATGAACAGTGTGTGTGTGTGTGTGCTTTGAAATTAGGGGAAAGTTGATTCTATTTGAAATCACTTTGAGGAAAAGCCCAGTTATATGTCAAGTAGTGCATTTACTAGTATGGACTTTCCACGTTTTGTTCATCCATCCATCTATACTGCTTTTCCAAACAAGGGTTGCCAGGGGGGGCTGGAACCAATCCCAACTAGGCGAGAAAGGTGGGGTACAACCTGGACAGGTTGCCATTATATGACAGGGCTGACATGTAGACATGTAGAGACAGACAACCACACACACCAACACTGTCTTTGCACTGTGGGAGGAAGCCAGAGAACCAGGAGAGAACCCACACAGGCACAGGGAGAACATGTAAATGCCACACAGAAAGGCCCCGGGTCGGCTCGAACCCAAAACTTTCTTGCTGTGAGGTAACAGAGCTAACCACTGGTTCACCATGCCACCTTCCAAGTTTTGTGTGAGTGCATATACACATCACATCCTGGTTTCAGAAACTTAAATATGCTAGCTGATGTTGTCCAATATTAATAGATGCTGTGGCATATAAACCTCTTATCCAGCATTTGGCAGTGCAGCAAACAGAAAATAATATTTATATGCCATGTGTATAAATAACCATACAGTGGTTTTTATTCAGCAGAATGGCCTTCATTTTTGCCCATGTAGTGGTGTCTATGAAACTGTTGGATGTGCATTCTAGGATAGGTTTGGTTTGGTGTACCATCAATAAGTTATAGGCCTAGGCTGGCCATGATGTTCTGAGCTCCTCACCTCTCTTCCCCTCCCCTCTCCATTTTATTTTTATATTCCACCATTAACCCACTAACCTCGTGTCTCCTCTCTCCTATATTGTGTCCTCTCTCTCTCCCTGTACCTTTCAGCAGGTATGCCTGGATCCAGAGCTCTACGTTTCTGATGAGTAGTCACCAACCACATCAACCTG